CCATTCAAACCCTAACTAAGCTGGACCTTGCTTAGCTTCCAAGCTGAACCAAGCTGTTTTCTTAAAGACTTGACCCAAAAGAGTCCAATAACTTTGAGGACAAGGAATGGGTTTTCTCTCTTCCTTGGTCCATGGTCCTTACTTTATTTCTTCACGAGTTATTGGAATGGAAAGATGTGGTAAGGACGTATCTGAAGGCAGCAAATGGTAGCTAGAAACCCTGCTCTAGAGCCTCACTGCATCTGATCTGTTATTGGCCAGCGGGCTGTCTAAATATATCAAACCTGGCAAGATGTTGGAAGTTATAAATATTCCCCCTTCTCAGTCCCTGTGACATGCAGCCCCTAAGTGACGCCGGGGTTCAATACAAGCCCTTCAAGAGGAGGCACATAGCAACAGAGTAGATGCATGGCCAGTTAGAGGACGACACTTTTAACCTATTTCTTATCCACCCTTTCCCAGAGGTCCTTGACAGGGGAAAACTTTTTGGCAACGGGAGGAACAGTAGCTGGGGCCAATCCAGGCATGTAGAAAGTTTAGAACAAACAACCACATTCAGGCTCCAGAGTGTCAACAGCACTGCAGAAGCTCACGCCATTTCAAACCCACATTTTTGGGTGGGTTTTTTTTATTTAAAAAAAATGAAATATCTTAATGCCAGGCATGGACATAACAGCTTCCTTAGTAGATTTACAACAAGGGTTGAACCTTCAAACTTGGCAAGTTTAAGACTTGTGGACTTCAACTCCCAGAATTCCTGAACTAACTAACATGCCTGGAGGAAGAATTCTGGGAGTTGAAGTCCACAAATCTTAAATCTGTCAAGTTTGAGGACCCTGATTTAGGTTTGCCAAAGCCTATTTCCAGAATAATTTTTTTTTTTACTTTCCAATCTAACTGCGCTCCTGCTATTCCCATCTAAATGCAAGCTAAGAAGTTGGCATTGGATGAAGCCAACAGATTGAAGCCAATACGAGCCATTTGATTAATTAGAATCCAATCAAGTTGGCATCAAGAGTGCCTCTTCCAGGAAGATATCCCCAAAATTTAGCAGAAAGGTGCTTTAATAAATGAGGAGAGGTGTGGAAAAGATTCTCACCATACAGGTATTCCTCAACTAAACAACCACAATCAAGATCAACATTTGCAGGCATCTGTTTTTTACCAAACCTGGTTAAGGGATTTTTTTGGTGAGTTCGGCCAATTAGTGGTTTCAAGCACAACTTTTATTTCCCTGTTTCCATTTCTCCACTTGTAAAATGGGACTGGAAACCATTTTATTCCAGCATCACTGGGCTGCACAGTGAGACCACAAACACATTTTTTTCAGTCTCTTACTCTGCACAATTTCAAGAAACAGCTTTATTTAGACGAGCTAACCAGAGTTTTTTGTAAGAGTGGTTGGAAAGCCTTGGTTTATGGTTTAGCTCAACATGAATGAATAGAATAGAGCTGGAAGGGACCTGGGAGGTCTTCTAGTCCAGCCCCCTGCTCAAGGAGGAGAACCTAAACAATCTCAGACAAGGGACTGTCCAGTCTCTTCTTAAAAACCTCCAGTGATGGAGCACCCACAATTTCTGGTGGCAAGCTGTTCCCCTGGTTAATTGTCCTCACTGTTAGGGGGTTTCTTCTTAATTCCAGGTTGCTTCTCTCCTTGATTAGTTTCCAACCATTATTTCTTGTCTTGCCCTCTGGAGAATAATTTGATCCCCCCATTTTTGTGGCAGCCCCTCAAATACTGAAACATTGCTATCCTGTCACCCCTAATTCTTGTTTTCTTTAGATTAGCCAAATCCAAAACCTGCAGCCATTCTTCCTATGGTTTAGTTTCCAGGACCTTGATCATCTCAGTTGCTCTTCTCTGGATATTTCCCAAGACCTCAATAGCATTTTTTGTAATGTGTGGTGACCCAAATTGCAGTATTCCAGATGTGGTCTTACTAGGGTTCTGTAAAGCGGCACTATGTTAATCCAGACAATGGTGGCTTATTCAACAAATCATGGGTTATGCAAAGGAGACCTTGATGCACCATACCAGAGGCCTCCACCCTTGGCAACTTTAAGACTTATGGACTTCAATTCCCAGAATTATGGGAGTTGAAGACCGCAAGACTTTAAAGTTGCCAAGTTTGGGGACCCCTGCACTATACGAATCCATCTTTTGGCTGCAGAGCATTTGTTGTTGCTTTTTTCACAGCAACTCCTTGGCTGAAGGATGCCAAGGAGATTTCTCACACTACCACACTCCAGATCTGCAGGGACCATTGCTAATAGTTGGAAATCACCAAGCAACTTTCTACGGAACCCACCCATTTTTCCCAACGGGACCCTTTATATGCCCTCCTGACCAACTTCACCCCTTTCCTTCTTCAGACACCTCCATTAAGGAAAGGGGTTCATCAATAGCGGTCTACCTTTCCTTCGCCATCAGCAGACCAGCCGTATCTATTTCCCAAGCAGGTAAGAGAGAAATACAGGTAGTCCTTGATTTACAACCACAGCGGAGCCCCAAATTCCTGTTGTTAAGTGAGACATTTGTTAAGTGAGTTTTGCCCCATTTTATGACCTTTCTTGCCTCCATTGTTAAGTGGATAATTGCAGTTGATAAGTTAGTAACCCAGTTGTTATAAAGCCTTAGTAAGGCCACACCTAGAGCACTGCATCCAGTTTTGGTCACCACACTATAATCATCCTGGTTGCTCTTCTCTGCACTTTTTCTAGAGTCTCAACATCTTTGTTGAGACTCTAGAAAAAGTGCAGAGAAGAGCAACCAGGATGATCAGGGGACTGGAGGCTAAAACATACGATGAATGGTTGCAGGAACTGGGCCTGGCTAGTCTAGTGAAGAGAAGGACCAGGGGAGACATGACAGCAGTTTTCTAATATTTGAGGGGCTGCCACAGAGAGGAGGAAGGGGGGTCAAGCTATTTTCCAAGGCACCTGTAGGCCAGACAAGGAATAATGGATGGAAACCGGACAAGGAGAGATTCAACCTGGAAATAAGGAGAAACTTCTAACAGTGAGAACGTTCAACCCATGGAACAAAAGTTGCCCTCGGAAGTTGTGGGAGTTTCATCACTTGAGACCTTCAAGAAGAGATTGGACTGCCATTTGTCAGAAATGGTGTAGGGTCTCCCACTTGGGGGGGGGGGGGGTTGGACTAGATGACCTACAAGGTTCCTTCCAGTTAACCTGTTCAGTTAACCTTGTGAAGTGAATCGGGCTTCCCCATGGACTTTGCTTGTCAGAAGATCACAAAAGGGGATCACGTGATCCCCCCTCCCCTCAACTGCCACCGTCATAAATACGGACCAGCTGCCTAGCATCTGGATTTTGATCACTAGAGTATGGGGATACTGCCAAGGTTGTACTTGTGAAAAACAGTCCTACGTCACTTTTTTTTTTTTTCAGTGCTGTTGTAACTTTGGATGGGCACTAAACGAACTGTTGCAAGTCTACCTGAACCTGTGGCCCCTATTCAAAGCAAATGGGATATACGGTGTGCTGCCTAGGTAGGGGGCCTGGGGGAGCACGGGGGCCTTTGGATGTGCAGCCTCAAAGAGGAAACCGCCCCTAACCTCCCCTGAAAAGCTGGCCAAGTTACAGGACAAGACAAACTTCCGAAAAGTTGCTATGTGACCGTTTTGGGGTTTTTTTCCTTTTTAATGCCACATCATATGAGAAGTCCTAGCACAGCCTTGCCTCGAATGACCCCTGGTCAAGCGTGGAATGCATCGCCTGGGGAGGGGTGGGTGTGGAAACGATCCTTCTACTAATCCACGAGAAGAAGCCTCCCTCATTTGGGGAGCCCAACCGGGCCGTTTCAGCGCTTTCCGCAGACTTTCCCCTCCCCCGTCCCCCCCCCCCCCCCTCCCCCCCCCCAATATTTTTCCCCCCCCCCCCCCCCCCGCCCCCCACCCCCAGCTGTGCAATGAAAGGCAGGCAGAAGTTCCACCAGGCAAACCTTTTCTGGCCAGGGCAGCCTCTCTCCCTCTCTCTCTCTCGCTCGCTCTCTCTTCCTCTGTCTCCTCTCCCTCTCTCCCTCCTCTCCTCTCTCTCTCCCTCCCTCTCTCCCTCCTCTCCTTCTCTCCCTCCCTCTCCCTCCTTCCTCACTCTCTCTCCCTCTCTCCCTCCTCTTCCTCTCTTCCTCCCTCCTTCTCCCTCTTCCTCTCTCTCCCTCCCTCCCTCCTCTTCCTCTCCCTCCCTCCCTCTCTCTCCCTCTTCCTCTCTCTCTCTCCCTCCCTCACTCTCCCCCCCCTCCTTCCTCTTCCTCTCTCTTTCCCTCCCTCTCTCTCAGGCTCGTAGCCGGCCCACGCTTAGTTAAAAGAGGCAGGAAAGTTTGCAGCTGTGCTCCAAAGAAGCCCTGATGTTACCCGTCCGACGCAGGCTGGGAGCAATGACGACTCCCGGTTGAACTTCCAAAGCCGACCCCCCCCCAAAAAAAGGTCTCCCCTATGGTGGTCCCGGGGCGCTCCCCCTCCTTCCCTCCTCGAAAGGCCACCGAGGACTCCCTGGGACCTACCCCAGGCGCCCCTTCCCCCATTGCAAGAGCGGGTCCCCAGGGCCGGGAAAGTCTCGCCTTCCCCAGCTCCGAAAAGCCGCCGCCGCCCCCCACATCTTGCGTTTCACAACTTCGGGGTCCCCACCTGCCCCCCTTGCTCTCCTTTGTGGGGGGCGCTTCCCAACTTCTGCCAAGTTGCTTTCCCTTCCCTTCCCTTCCCCTGCAGGCGCGCTTATCGGCTTGGAAAGGGGGCGGTGAGGAAGGTGGGGGGGAGCTCCGGCTGCCCCCTCTCCCCGACTCTGGCATTCGCGCTCGGGGAACCCCAAAGTCCTCTTGGCCATCTGCCCCGTGCCCCGTGCGCCCCCCCCCCCCCCCC